TGGTCATCGTACGGATCATTATTGGAGAGATGTGCTCATGTATTAAACTGCGGGTTCGATTCCTGAATAGAATAATAGAGTCTCCGAAAATCTAATGATGTAGTTTGGATTTAACCAAAAGCCTGGTATTTTTACTATTTTTGTAAAGGTGGTCAACCAAGTACTTAAAAGTTGATTGTTTTGTGTTGTTGAAAACATACATTCAACCAAAATAAAGTAAGACAACAACAATCTTGAACCTTATCAATTCCAGCTTAAAGTTCGTAATTTTATGAAATATGCTTCGTTGCTTTGAATTATTTCAAAAGTATAACCAAATAAGGCCATAACAGCTATTTATATCAAGAAACGTTATGTTAACTTTTTAATTGCATCGAAATAACATACCGTCACAATAACCACAAAAAAGCATCGCGGAGGCCATGTCTAAAGACCGTTTAAGTCAGAAATTAGCATTTTTACGCTCGTAAATTTTATACAAAGTTGTAAAATAGAGCGAGCGTATAATTAGAATAATTAGAAAGAGATCAAACAATTATGATTTTAATATGAGTGAGGAGTAGGATCGTTTTCGTCATCATAATTCATGACAGGTTTTCTTGAGGTTTTTAAGCAAAATAAGTAATAAAAGTTACTAAGTAACCGTGTGTTTGTTGCAATAGCAATATTATTAAAGCATGCTATGCCTTCCCTCAAACTTAAATTACATTATTTACGGACTGGTCTCATTCCTTTAAATCAGCCCAATTTTGGGAAATCTTTAGCGGATGCTCCATCATTATCATTTCAGCCACAAGACGTCTATTGCTGAACATAGGCCTCCCCCAATGACTTCCAGATTGGCCGTTTGATAGCGGCGTGCATCCAGATTCCAGCGCCTTCCTGGCTTGTAGTTGGACGTTCCAATTGACAATATTTCAAAGTTCACAAGACCCTTTAAACATAAATTAAAGTTTCAGTAACGTATTGAACACAAAGTCAAACACATACGAAGTAAGAAAGTTTATTTGAGAAATGAGGTAATGAGAGAATTAGTAATTAGTACACCTCAAAATTATAACTTATCTTTAAAATTTTAATCGCTGCTAGTTGTTTATCCTTTGCAACAAAATACAATTATTTATTTGTGCGGCAGTTAATGTGTTAAATAAATAAAGTCGCACTCGTGTAACATTGTGCAAGACGTGTTGAGTTGAATTGTTTTTCACGGTACTTTCCTTTACAGGTAAGCTACAACGCAGTGGTATGGTGTGGATTGAAACTTAGGTAAGTTTTTTTTAAATATTGCTACATTTTTTGTAAAGATATTTTGTTTTAAGCTTGATTCGATTACCATGATGTGTGGATTGAAACTTGCAACTTGTAGGTGAGCTTTTTTTTTAATGTTGCTACATTTTTTGTAAAGATTATTTTATTTTAAGCTTTTAAGCTTTTTAAGCTTGATTAGATTACCTTCATATGGTGTGGATTAAAACCTGCAACTTGTAGGGTAAGCTTTTTTAAATATTGCTTGTTTCAAAAAGCTTCAATTTTTGTAGAAGATCAAAGTATCTTTTAAGCTTTTTTAAGCTTTTAGGCATTTTAAGCTCTGCATTTTTATGCTAAAAATTATACTCTATTAAAAGATATTTTAAGCTGAATTACATTATTATGAACTTGTAAGCTTTTTTCATTAGTTTTTTCAAAAAGCTTCCATTTTTAATAAAAAAATACTTTGTTTTAAACATTTAGCTTATAAAAAGCTTGCTTAGATTACCGTGATATGATGTGAATTGACACTTGAAAGTTATTCTAACAATTTTTATTCATAATGCTACGATATTTATAATATACTAGCTTTCCGCCCGCGGCTTCGCCCGCGTGGAATTTTGTCTGTCACAGAAAAACAATATCGCGCGCGTATTCACTCATCGTGTAGACCNTACTGAGCATTAGTGACTTTTTACAAACGTCTTCAGAAATTCGATACTTATGTCGCCATCTAGTGAGATTGATTTGGAATGATTCAAGATTTATAGGCATCGGGTTCTCGTGGTATTATTAACATTGAATTGAAAATTATCTTGACTGCAAAAACATGGAATTGACTTGCGGAAAGGACATTGGGAACTTTAATATGAGAAAATGCCCCACGGCGGACAAAGATGAAACGTATTTTATTTCAAAGCTTTATACTTGTAAGTATATTCACTTAAAGCGCTATGTTGTGAGATATGGGAATTCTGAGATATGACGAGTCTAAGTTGAAAATATATTTGTCTAAAATGATTTGATATTTTTACATGTTATGTTGTTTGGCATTGCAGAGTAACCAATAAAAGTAAATAAAATAATATAAATAAATAAAAATATAAATAAAATAATATAAATAAATAAAATATTATAAATACTTAAATTAATATTAGACAACATCTCATATATTACTCCAACCCAAAATAAGTAGCTAAGGCATTTGTGTTATGGAAATCGGGAACGACGAACCACAACACACCCAAACCAGAGACAATGTGAAAAGATCGTTTTCTATATTGTCCCGGCCGGGAATCGAACCCGGGACCTCAGGATTGGCCCGGCACACTTTGAAAACCGGTGTGTGCGCCTCTCCGCCACGGAGGTCGTCAAAAATGTTACCTAAATGTAAAATAAAATAAAATATTAAAACTTCATTTTCTCAATATTCCCATATAAGAGAGAAAAAACAAATGCACGGAAATTCATTGGATATTAGTATGTATCATCTGTGATAGGTTTCGTTTGTGTCCGCTACTTTTCGAAAATTGGGGCAAAAAGTTCCCAATGTCATTTTCGCGCGAAGATTTATTATGACTTTCGACGTGGTTAATCAATACAAAACTGAAGCGGTCAGCTAAATTTCACTTTTGGTGATAAAGATCTATCCTTTACCATTGTAAAACGCTAGTTTAAGAAGTATAATATTGTATGTCATTGGCTCACCAGTGAACTTTGCGAAAGTCGTCCAAAATGACTATTAGTGGCGGAAAACATTGATGTTGTCAGAAAAATGGAAGGGAAACCTCGTCATGTGATATATCGTAGGATTGAGATAATCCTAGGCATTAATTCCACTAGCAGTAATAAAATATTGTATGACCATATTATGGTTAATACGTTTTTTTCTCGCTGGATGTCACAAAATTTTTCAAACGCTCAAAAGGACGCTTGTGTCGTTTAGTCCTTGCAAATGTTTGATAAATACGTTTAAAAAGCTTTAAAAGCCGTTTTTAAAATTGTGACAGTTGACGAATTAAGGATCTATGCATAATGATCCTGAAAATAAACAGCTATCGACTATGGAGGTATTTTAAGATGAACCAATTCCAACAAAAGTCCCATGCGCTCGGAACACTTTGAAACTTATGGTCGCCTATTTTTCCAAAATATCCGATTATATGACAGAAACGTCACTAGAGAAATTTAGATTGGTTAATTTTTAATAGTAAACAGCTACTTTTTTTCCAAAAGTCTTCAGTTTAATAAGGGAAACTGACCAGCATAGTCGAATCGCCATTCGTGACGAAAATGTGAGCTTTTACACGTTTCGTCAAACAACTGACAATTTGAACACTCAAAATATGAAATAAACAGGTCCAACGCTAGGAAATTCTTGCTTGGAATCTAAACACTTCTTTTGGTACCCATATATTAAAATTAAATGCGTGAACAACGATTTATGTAGCCAGAAGCAACTGTCGGTGAGGTCAAAAACCATGCTTTGGAGGTGCCTCAAGCTGACTGGAAAAAATGCTATGAGAAGTGTTTCGGACACATTAAAAAGTACATAAATCATGAAAGACAATACCAATAAACGCAATCAATACCATTTTAATAATAAACTACTTTGTTTTCATAGTTAGGCTCACAACTTAAATAGTGTCCCACGTATCCTGTAGGTGGGCCATCGTGCGTGTTTTGTTTTCGATGTAAACTCGCGGAGATGAACAGGCCTGGTTAAAGTAAGATGGTGCAGAATCACTGCGGCAATAAATCCGCGGGTTAGTCCAAAAAAAATGGTGCAAACTCAGCCTAAGACTTATTAAACAAATTACCTAAGATTAAAACGTCAGCAGTTCGCAATCTAAAACTATTGAATTTGAAAACTAATCGGGTTTCAAGGATGAATAAAGAGAATTTGACAGGTGTCTTGGAAGTCAATACCAATAATATAAAAGTCAATTGAATATTATGCTTAATTTTGAATAAAGATTTGAACATCGTTTTATAATGGGCCTTATTGAGTTCTGTATCCCTGACAACGATTGTGGTGTGCTAACTTATTAAATAATGTGTAAAATGTCGATTGTCGATTGTTTTCCCAGCTGGCTCGCTGGCTACGTCAATTTAACTGTATGTTTGCATATACTGTTAATTATTGCACACCTGCTTAAACCTAAGTATTATACTGTGACTGATGAATTTGAATTTCATTTTTTTTTACAACAAACGCACTGGGCTTAAGTTTGGTCTGAACAACCCCAAAGGTGTAAGGCGTTCCTTGACTTAGGAATCGGGCCACTGCACGGGTACACTCATCCCGTGAAAGTCGTAAGAGGCGAATAAGGGATAAAAATGCGAATATCAAGACTCCCCAATTCATCTAGCCTTTGGTTAAATAAAGATAGTCGACCTGCAGTAGAGACAAGCCGATTTGTTATAGTCAATCCCAATTCAAGTCAGCCTGTCAAATTTTAAACTTTCTTTGGTCAGAGTAGCCTCGCTTTCCGATGTTTTCACAACTAAATATTATTTATAAGACTTTAAACATTAAGAAAGTGTAAAAGCATCGAAAACTGTTATTACAAATTATAAAACTAATATTATAAAACTGAATAATTGATCGAAAACGGATTGTAATTTAACAGTTGACGGACGGATTTGGATAGGGATTGATTAAAGCTAAATCACCTGATTATAAAAAAAATTATGAGTTATGACCAGTTAATTTAACATGACTTTTAATTTGTAAACTAATTTATTTACAGGCGATACCAGGACTGCGTTGGAATATTCAAAGAAGACCTTAGCGATAAATCCGAAAAACATACGCGCGGCCGATAACATTATACTTTACCAAAAGTCTATCGCAGAGGAGGAAGCAAAACAATTAATAAGTCAAATAAGTGGTGTAAGTATAGCAATATACGGGTATTTTTTTATCACAGAAGTAATAATCAATAAATAAATAGGATAAATACGGCCCCCGCTACCGGTGGTGTAGTGTAGTGCGCTGCATGCGATGGACTCAAATCATGAATGAGAACTGCATGCGCGCTGACAAAATTCGGCGCAACCATGACTGGCTCCCCGCTAATCCACGCTAAATTTTGTCAGTGTGTGCGTGCGCCTCATAAGAAGGCTCAAGGTCACCCAAAGAGCGATGGAGCGTGCTATGCTCGGAGTTTCCTTGCGTGATCGAATCAGAAATGAGGAGATCCGTAGGAGAACCAGAGTGACTGACATAGCCCGCAGAATCGCTAAAACCAAGTGGCAGTGGGCGGGGCACATAGCTCGAAGAGCTGATGGCCGCTGGGGCAGGAAAGTTCTTGAGTGGCGACCACAAGCCGGAAGACGTAGCGTGGGCAGGCCTCCCACTAGGTGGACCGACGATCTGGTGAGGGTCGCGGGAGGTGCCTGGATGCGAGCGGCGCAGGACCGGTCTTTGTGGAAGTCCTTGGGGGAGGCCTTTGTCCAGCAGTGGACGTCTTTCGGCTGAAACGAACGAACGAACGTGCGTGCGCGCCGCATATGTATTGGCGCGCTCACATACAAACCGCGCTCGGTGCGTTTCTATGAAGATGACCTACTCATTTGTATTTACTCTGCTATTATGGAGCTACAGAAGGGGGAACCGTCCTGACTGCGTATCGTGATCGACACCACCAGCATGACGAAAACCTCGTGAAGGCCGAGAAGGAAAAACAAAGCAAATACCGTGACTTGGCCCACGAGGTGACCGTCATTTGGGATGTTGACTCGATGATCATTCTCCCGAAGTTGTCTCGGCAAACGGACTAATAGCGAAGAGCTTCGACCAACATCTAAAAAATCATCTCTCGCTAGATGGTTGGCTCAAGGGTCAGATACAAAAGGCGGTGATCCTCAGCACGCCACACACTGTCCGGAGGTTCCTCAGCCTGTGATCCTGACCATCGGCAGCTTGGGCCCTACTCCGCTGCCAGCGGATGAACTAGTTTTTTAAAGTTCTTTATGATATCTTTTTTATTTTATTTTGTATACTTACTAAAAATGGCGTTGTAGAAAATTTTATAAAATTAAGTTTTAAACTGAAATAAATGGGATAAAAAATAAAACTTTATGATGCTGTTTTAGTCTTCTCAAAGATCTAGTGTATAACTCCATGTGGCCGTTGTTACAGATATGTGTCAGATGTTTACAAATATGCAAAAAACTACGTCCCATTTGTAAATAAACATATTTTCTTCAACGAAAATAACGTCCATTATATTTGCAAAAACAAATCATAAATATCTATTTGGGAAATGTGTATTGGGATTTTGGGAAGTCGTAGATTGCAAGGAGTAGCTTTCCCAAAAAAATTGTAAAATATGTGTGTACTCGTCTTGAAACGTCATGTATATCGGTAACTGGCAATAAACTTTACCCGACTGCGCCAGAAGGAGGGTTATGTTTTTTAAAAATTATAAGTAGATTTAGTAGAAAGTAAAAATTAATATTGATAATTAAATTACCTTTTTACAGGAAACGGAGGAGAAAAAAAACCAGAAACCGTTGTCATATGAAGATATTGAGTATCAAAAAGAATTAAAAAATTATGAAATCCTTTGCCGCGGGGAAATGGACGTCCCTCCTGCAATTGCGAAAAGGTTTGCCTGTTAATTCTTATTTAATGTAGGAAATTATTAAATTATTATTAAAATTATTAAATAAGAAATTTTATAATAGTAATCTGTATTTACAAATAACTAATATTCTTAAAAAAAACTACTTCGTTCGTTAGTTTCGGCCAAATAACGTCCACTGCTGGACAAATGCCTCCCCATTATTTTAAAATAACACACTATATCGATGAGTTTTTAATCGTAGATTTTTATTCCTATGAAACGATAACAAAATGTTCCTTAATAATTGCGCTCACGGGTTGAAGTTGTCACAAAGCAGCGGGCAAAAGTATGGTTCGAATAAAAAATATTGCATAAGGTTGCCAAGTTTATGGGTGTTTTTAATATCATGCGGATTTCATCAAGGATGCGGTATTGCCTCACATGCGAGACACCCGCCAGCTTCCTTTTCATCAAGTATTTATTTTAATACGTGGAATACGCACGCGGGACAATAAATACTAGCATGAAAAGGATATACAGGTTGTCTCAAAAAGAATGGATAACCTTACAACTTCTCCTCCGCCTTAAGATCTCTTTAATATTAAAATTTTGGCCTTAATAAAAATGTCACAGATTTTAAGATAATATTTATTTTTAGAAAATTGCCACCATCTGTGATTAGTTTTTCTCGTGAATTTCAACAAACTAGTTCTAAAAAAATGAAAAGGAAAATTTAATTCGTAATCGCAAGCTCGCATCACAATAATCGCAGGTGACAATTTTCTAAAAATACAAAAAAAAAACTTAATAATCTCGAAAACCGTAATACATATTTTTATCTGGTCAAAATTTTATATTAGAGAGACCATAGTGAGGCTTATCGATAGTTACAATGTTATCCATTGTTTTTGGGACAACCTGTATAACGGGTGTCACGCATCCATATGCGTGACACGTGATCACGCCCCATGACAATCCCGCTTCCGTGATGAAATACGCACGTTTTTAAAAACCCTAAGGAGAATGCTTATGGACCGGCAGTGGACTTTTGGTGCTGATAATGATGATATTATTTTGTGTTTCAGCTTGTTCTGCCGTTATTTAACGGAAAACCACCCGTTTTTGAAACTTGCGCGAATAAAAGTCGAGTACAGATACTTGGAGCCCGACATAATGATCTTCCATGACGTCATGAGCGACGACGAGATTGAATTCATAAAAGAAACTGCTCAGCCCAGGGTAAGTGTCAATTATTGGAAATTAAAATTTGATACATACCTATTTGGTGTTTATTCCAAAATATACCTAATGGAAAAAAAACAACAAAAATATTGATTCCAGTATCGACTAAGGAAGTAGTGTGAAATTGGGACTTTTTGTGATATTACAAAAATGACTTGAAGACCACGAGACGCGTGTCGCGCTTAAACTACTCGTACTTCACCGATTTAGATTAATAGAGATAGTTTGAGATCTAGGCAAATCATAGGATAGGTTTTATTCCTGTTTTTGGAAGGGACTCACGCGCGCGATTGTAGGTAATTCTGTGAGGGGCCAAAATTATCGCATGCAACCACGTGCAAAAGCTAATAGCTTAATAAGCTATTACTATACGTGTAAATTACCTTCATCTCACAGTTCAGACGGGCAGTGGTCGTGGACGCCGTCACCGGTGAATTAGTTCCCATTAAGTCAGCAGTTATTTGTCGCGCTAACTATTGAACCGATTTAGATGAAAATAGTTTTAGAGATAGTTTGAAGTCTAGGGAAAACATAGGATAGTTTTTGGAGGGGGAAAACGCGCGCGATAATGACTCGGTAACGGCCTGAAAACCCGAGCAAAGCAGCGGGAAAACGCTTGTATAGATCGTTTCATCCACGGAGACGCGCCCCACTATTCTTCCTCTAATGTTTGAGTGTTATCGGTGCACGCTAAATCATCCATGAATGAGTGCACACGCACACTACAATAATGACGATCGGATTGCTCGGATCAAACTCCCCGCACCCCGCGCTTCCCTCAACCAAAAATTGGTGGGGCGCGTCTTCGTGGATGAAACGTACTATATCTTATGATTATTTTGATTTCTGTCTCACAGTTCAGACGTGCTGTGGTCGTGGACGCCGTCACCGGTGAATCAGTTCCCGTCAAGTACCGCATCAGCAAGTCGGCGTGGCTCGAGGACCACGAGTCGCGGGTCATCGCGCGCATCTCGCAGCGCGTGGCCGACATGACCGGCCTCAGCATGGACACGGCCGAGCACCTGCAGGTGGTCAACTACGGCATCGGGGGACATTACGAACCGCACTTCGACTTCTCTAGGGTGAGTACTACAATTACAGGTGAGCTTTACTCAGTCAGTACCTGAAGTATGGGAGCGGCATTGGAGGGTGATTTTGCGACGGTAAACGTCAGCGAGACTTCAGATCTGTATGTCCTGTCACGTCACGTCACGGCACCCTCGTGCCGCTTCCATACTTCAGGCACTGATTCAGTTAAGCGCTATAGTCCGATCGCCGAGCACGTAGAATTTCGTGTCTGTGCGACGGGCGCCCGCAGTGAGTGTGCGAGCGCGACAGCAACATAATTACGCGCGAGCGATAAGGATGGGTAGCTTGGGGTCATTGGACGAATTTCTACGTGCTCGGCGACCGGTCTTTAGACATATAGCAGCAATTGCACTAGACTATGGTAGTCAAATCCTGGTCTTGCGACTATGAGCAGCGCGTGGCCGACATGACCGGCCTCAGCATGAACACGGCCGAGCACCTGCAGGTGGTCAACTACGGCATCGGGGGACATTACGAGCCACACTTCTCTAGAGTGAGTACTTTACGGGACTATTCCCAATATTCCCACCTCTCGTTCCCACCGCTGCAACTCCTGCGTAGCCAGGATCTACAGCTTGACCGCCAACAACCCTACCAGAAGGTCAAGTTTATCACTTACTTAGGCACAACTATCGGCCGACGAAAAATCAACGGTGTGCGCCTACTCTAAGAGTTGCATCTCTAACTATACACAACTTGAAAAAATCGAACTGCCTAATTAACAGATTATGAAAATTTTTATTTTTGTTTACAGAAACACGAAAGTTTAATCAACTATCTTAACGCTGGGAATAGAATAGGCACAGTTCTATTTTATGTGAGTATTTTTTATTATAAAGGAAAAAATTTACATAATAAATGCTTCTTCGTGTTCAAAGGGGATTCACACTGCTAATTTATCCCGCCTGTCCTTGCATCAAATACAAAGTTTCATTTTGAGTTATTATAATTTTACTGGTTAAATGTGCAAAACCGCACGAAGCCATAATCTAGCAAAAAAGAAAAGGTTTGATATTTTTACAACGCTCCTGGCGCCATCTACGAAAGCTTTGTGTGTGGACTGTGAAACCCCATTCCTTGAAAGGTCAGCAATATTTACCTTCTTTTATTTGTTCGGTGTCAGATGTCGGACGTGGCGCAGGGCGGCGCGACGGTGTTCACTAAGCTGGGAGTCAGCTTGTTCCCCATCAAAGGCGCGGCGGCGTTCTGGTACAACCTGCACCCGTCGTGCGAAGGAGACCTGGCCACGCGACACGCCGCCTGCCCGGTGCTGCGAGGCTCCAAGTGGGGTGAGCACCCTAGCAGGCTAGACATAAGACCTAGAAATATAGGTGCTTTTTTGAACGGTGCAGAATCCAGCTACCGATGAAAGACGTAGTGGCTGCTATGAAATACATATTGAACCAGTTTTCCAGCCTTGGTAGGCTGAATGTGCTGTTGCAGTGGCGTTGGAAATATTAATATGCATATCAACCTATCGGTAACTGCTTTCTGCAGTCTACTTCGGAATAGCACCTCAAAACTCATGCCCTCGACTGCTCGTTAAGCTGTCATTTCATACCAGAGATAGGTACATAATGCCAAATTTTTTGTCTCGAAGTGCTGGTAGGGCAAAAAGATTATATTGCACAACAAAATTGTTGTCTGATGAATATTTGAAGAAAAGATCCCCGGGCCAGCTAGTTATTAAATGAATTCTAGAAAATAAAATCATAAAACCACACTTTCCAGCAAAAAAGTCGTCTAAAAACGAATTGTTTTATATTACAGTCTCAAACAAATGGATCCACCAAGGCGGGCAGGAGTTGCTGCGGCCTTGCGGCCTCCAATACCAAGAGGAGGGCGTATCCCGCAGGATACCGAAACCCATCCTCAAGACCTCCAGATAAACACCGCCTGGCTGCCAAGTAGTATTGTTAAACACACCCCAAAAAGGTACTGACTTTGCCCGTGTGCCTAAAGCGAACTAGAACTCAATTAATATAGTGAAGTGAATATTTTCGTCGGTTAGGGCGGCTTCAGACCAGTTTTTTCTGCGCGTATACAGCCGTCTGCCTTGTGGCTGTACTGTACTAAACTAAGCTGGGAACATTAAATTTTCGGACAGTCCAGTTTATTCTGTACCCTATTGATAACGTTTGATAGAGCCCGTGAAGTACTTACAGGATCAGTAACTGTTTTTCGATATTTTGTATACTTTAGAATAATTGAGTAAAATCACATCGTTTTCCACTTGTATATGAGTTTATAAGAGCGTCAACACTTGCACGAGTTGCGCATATACGCGCGTATAAAACGCTGGCCTGAAACCGCCCTTACTGTGTTAAAACAATAATTTTAAAATAACTAATGAAGTGATACTTAGTCTATATGGGCATGCTATTTATTAAAGGTACATAAGTATTAATTAATTTTATTTCTTTCAACCTTTTTGTTACCCGTTAGCATCAAACAATTTCAGGATTCCGTTTCTCAAAAGAAAATGTGAAATAGGATCAGATCAGTGTAGGACATTTATACCGAAGTTAACCGGGCCAGTCATTGTCAAATGAGTAGGAGTTTACATAAAAAAATGACATTATAGTTCCAAAATACTGAACTGTCCTATCCATGACATTGACAGCGGGGCGCCACCGTCAATACCGGATCGCTGGTTCCGATTTTTGCCATGTTGGAAACCATATAGTTGAACGATGGTAGCGCCCCCCTGTCATTGAGTTTGGTGGGACAGTTCAACGTGGGTCATCTATAAAAATGTATGACGGATTATTCAGCGCCCCTAGCGAAAACTTTCAAGAACTAAAATTTTCATACATTTTTTAGACGCGCTCACTAGTGAGCTCGTTTGATGTAAACTCACACTAAGCCCTCAGGGGCCGAAGTGTGAGTTTAAGTCAAACGCATTCTTTATTAATATTGACTGCGTAAAAAAGTGACATTAAATGTATGACGTATTGTACAGCGCCCCTAGCGGAAACTTTCAAGAACTATTCTTCATATATTTATTTTAACGCAGTCGATATCGAATGCGTTTGACGTAAACTCACACTACGCCCCTAGAGCGATGCGAGATGAATACGGCTCAGTGACTACACTCGCGAGCAAAAGTATGGAATCACTTACATGAAGTTGTTTCCACGCGATCTTGTGTACTAACGAATTTGTTAGGAACAAAAAAAGTGGCACCATTTTAAAGATTAAACTTTTATCTTTAAATTGATACCAAATTCGTTTAAATCACACCAGTATTTAAAAAGATATCCCGGCTGATGTGACGAAGTAAAGAAAAAGACATGTATGAACTGTTTGATACGTCGCGAGTTGCGGCCTATTTACCCCCTATAAAAGCACGCGTTTTCGGATTTTTGCTTTCACACGTTGATTCATACATATCTCCGCTTCTTTTGACTCTTTACCTGGGATTCTACACCTTCAGAAGCAGCACAAATCGTTGCACTATTGCAAGAAGGACTCAGCCAGCGGGCTGTCGCACATCAGCGCCACATAAGCCAGTCCTGGGTTTCGAAAGTTTTAAGACGCTTTCGGGAGACTGGTGGCTTTATCCCGAGACCAAGTTCTGAACAGCGCCGGCGCACATCGCAGAGGGAAGACCGTTTTTTCATGTCAACCTCTCTATGAAATCGTCATTTGACTGGAATCGACGTCCAGTAAGAGCTCAGAAATGTTCGTAGGATAGCTGTTAGCGAGTAGACAGTTTGTCTAAGACATAAGCAATAGAATTTAACTCCAAAAAGGCCTGCCACAGGCTCGAAACTGACAGCAGGTCACCGATAAGCACGCTTTCAATTTGCTCGTACACATCTCGATGTTAAGTCGAGCAAGCCACCCCCATAAGCCACTGTTTCAGCGAACCAGCACTGCACAAATCGCTCCTCAGGCCGCCTATAAACCCGACCTCTTCGACTGCTGCCCTGCAAACACAGTTTGCATTCATCGGAGAACAGAACTCGCCTCCATTACTCGCCTTCCCATCGAGATGTGTACGAGCAAATTGAAAGGGTGCTTATCGGTGACCTGCCGTCAGTTTCGAGCCTGTGGCCGGCCTTTTTGAAGTCAAATTCTATTGCTTATATCTTAGACGAACTGTCCACTCGCTAACAGCTATCTTACGAACATTTCTGAGCTCTTGATGGACATCGATTCCAGTCAAATGACGATTTCATAGAGAGGTTGACATGAAAAAACGGTCTTCCCTCTGCGATGTGCACCGGCGCTGTTCAGAACTTGGTCTCGGGATAAAGCCACTAGTCTCCCGAAAGCGTCTTGAAACTTTCGAAACCCAGGACTGGCTTATGTGGCGCTGACGTGCGACAGCCCGCTGGCTGAGCCCTTCTTGCAATAGTGCAACGATTTGTGCTGCTTCTGAAGGTGTAGAATCCCAGGTAAAGTGTCAAAAGAAGCGGAGATGTGTATGAATCATCGTGTGAAAGCAAAAATCTAAAAACGCGTGCTTTTATAGGGGTTAAATAGGCCGCAACTCGCGACGTATCAAACAGTTCATACATGTCTTTTTCATTACTTCTTCACATCAGCCGGGATATCTTCTTAAATACTGGTGTGATTTAAATGAATTTGGTATCAATTTAAAGATAAAAGTTTAATCTTTAAAATGATGCCACTTTTTTTGTTACTAACAAATTCGTTAGTACAGAAGTTCGCGTGGAAACAACTTCATGTAAGTGATTCCATAGTTTTGCTCGCGAGTGTATGTCGCGAGTACCTGATAAAATAGGTGTGCTAAAATGAACTAATAGAACTATAAGACCGAACTAGTTCATTTGACCATTGTACTAGTTCGGATACGTTCAGTGTCCGAGTAGGAACAAGTCCACTGCTAGCGCTGGCGCTGTGTTTGACATGAAACTATCTTCAAACAGAATAAAATTCTACCTCAGGCTAGTGCATAAGTAACAGCTGTACAATTGTAATATTTACAGTTAAGTTATAGTTAAAAACAATTTATTGTGTTGGTCTTTGTTAATGTGACCTTGCATTTAAGGTAGAGAACTCACGAACTTTATAAATTTCAACAGTGGATTAAATTAGGTAATACTAAAACATACCTACTTACAACTTTTTTGAGATTGGTAGGATATGATAAGATTTAAAATTGTCACAATAATGAATCTTCTTTTAAGCCCAAGAAGCAATACCCAATAGCTTTGACCGGTTTTGGTGAAGTTATCCATCAAATTACATTGAAGCGTTGATTCTACGTTAAGTACGTACGTGGGCCTCACGTTGGGTGCCAGTTTATAAGAGAACTTTGTATAGGACTACGTTTTTTAAACAAAACCGAGTACTTGAAATACAATAAGTGAAAGTAACATGAAAATTTTAAGTTGAAGATAAACACAAGTTCAGAAGAAACATAAGATCACCAACAAAATTCAGTGAGCTCTAAGCTTAACGACCGACAGAGCACAATGGCAACTAGTCAAATAAAACTCGATATAAATAATAATCTTCTTTGTTCAATTCCTTACACTATTTTAGTATTAACAACAATATAGTTACGTTTAATTCCTGATTGGTTAAATTAAATACGAGTATAATAATTAAATACGTTATCATAATTTATAAAGAGTATAGTATTATAAGATTTTCGTGAATAATGTTATGGTTTGAATTTACGTGTTTGATGTGTTTTTGTATGTGGATGAGTTTATTCTCGAGAAGTGAAGCCGAAGTGTTCACTGCAATATCAGACGTTGAACCTTTAATAGAAACACATCAGAGAATAATAAACGATGTGAATGAGTATATCGCGGCTGAGGAAACGCGGCTATCCACGTTGAAAAAGTAGGTTGTGTTATAAAGCATTAAGTATGTACCTTTATTTTGGAGACAATACCTAAAACATTATAAAATACTTTGAATTGTATTCATTACCCCATTCTTTTTCTGAGCAACAAAGGGGCTAACATATTGATTAATTGTGCACTTCAGGCGATTAAAACTTTACAAAGAAGAGCATGAAATGGCAATGGCGGACATTCCGAACTATTTGGCCAATCCCATCAACGCATTTACTCTTATAAAAAGGCTGACTAAAGATTTGGAGAAAATAAGACAACTTTCTCAAATTGGAACAGGTAAGTAACCACCAACTTTTTATGAGTTCATAGCCATAATCCCCATTTATAACGATAATTCTGCGACAAACTAAATTTCACGCGAAAGCCGGTCTGGTACAAGATATTTATTCGTACTATAACATTCACGTTTACAAACCAAATAAGTTAAATGCAATGTTTGACAGAAAATTCAAACATTATCGCAAAAAATCATGAGGATTTGAAGTATCCCGTATTAGAAGATCTGACAGGCGCTGCTGAAGCACTGACACGGCTTCAAGAAACATATGAACTTAATGTTCAGGATTTATCAGAGGGGCTGTTGAATGGCGTGGTTTACAGGCAAGTATTTATTTATTAGTTAGTTAGCTATTAGCAAGCCCAGAATAAACGACTATTAGGTACTTATATTAAAGACTATTATTATACAGGGTGGAAACGATAAGTTATCTCACTCGATTATTTCTTAACTATACAAGATATCGAAAAACTGGTTACTGATCCTGAAAGTGCTTCACGAGCTCTTTCAAATGGTATCAGTAATAGGTTACAGAATTAACTGGATCTATCCGAAAATTTAATGTTTTTAGCCTCCATACTAAATGTATGCCAGCCACACAATATTATAAGTGTTAATTTTTTTTGTTAAATTATTATCACTTAAAATGAACTCGTAAATTGCATTCTTAATTAAAATTATTAATGGAAAACATTGGCTTTAGGCTTTACTTGTTATAATATTATCAAGACATGAGTGCCATGACTGTGGCAGTACTAAATGTATGGAAGCTGGAAACATTTAATTTTCGGATAGATCCACTTTATTTTGTAACTTAGATTATTGGTACCGTTGGATAGAGCTCGGGAAACACTTTCAGGATCAGTACCTAACCAGTTTTTGGATATCTTGTATAGTTTAGAAATAATCGAGTGAGATCACTTATCGTTTCCACCCTTTATAATAGTATTATAGTATTACTAGACAAGCTTTATTACTTTACTAAAAACTGTGTCATAGCGCCGGCGTGGGTGTTAAACTTATTTAAATTATTTCAAGTCATACATTAAACAATGCATGAATAGTAATGCATGACATGCATATTATGACTGAACTCTACATATATGTGCCACCACAGCAAGGAACATTTAAAAAATGTGATATAGCTTTTCTTCATAAAATAACAAATAGAAGTCTTCAATATTAAGAAAACAATATTTGTTTTGTATTGTTAGTAAACCGATGTCGGCGGGGGACTGCTTCGAGATAGGTAAAACCCTGTATGAAGAAGGAGACTACAATAATTCGCTAG